TATCAAAAATATTTTTATGATAAATCACTATGTGATTTTTGGCATATAACTTGGAAGGAGTCCAAACAGTTCCGTGTCATACAACAGAAACCTTTCCCTTCCCATCTGCTTGTTTATGCGAACAAATTCTCAGTGCTTACGCCAATAAAAACAAAATGGTGCGAGTAAAATTGATGATGAAACTTGCCTCCTTCCAATATCAAGTAATATTCACTCATAAATGCATTAATTGAGAAAAGCAGTCCCACCTCTCAGACCAAGAGAAGAATAACCAAAGAATTTTACTTTTTTAGGATTAATAATTCTTTATCATGAGCTATGACATATTTACACTGTTTTGATCAGTTGTGTTCTACTAACAGCCATGATGATAACCCATAATGATAAGTTTTAAAAAAATGACTTATTTTAAAACTTTAAGACTTATGATCGCAGAAATTTTTAAAACTTAAATTTGTGAGCATATTTTTGTTGCAATCAGTGACATGTGATAGAGTAATCAATAAAAAAGCTTCCCAAATGAAAATATGATACATTAAGATCAAATTCTTCCAGGGGAGTACAAGTTTAAAGAGGAAAAAAAGAACAATGCAAAATTCTTAACAAAAGCTTGTAAATGTATTTTTTTAAATCAATAATGGTGGGTATCAAATCACAATGGCACTAAACTTCAGTTGAACATATTTTAAATTCTATTAATAGTACATTTTTCTCTTAAAATACCAATATTTACAACATGCTAAAAATTATATCCATTTATTTTACCCAAGTAAATATTTTAAAAAGATAAAATGTATATATGTTGCCTATAACTATATAATTATATGTTAGCTATAAATATATAATTATATCCAAATATATATTTAAACTTATGATAAAAAATTCAGTTGACAGCTTAGAAATGTGGGAGTATGGACATGACTTTCAAAGTTGGAGGCGATGCTGGGAGGTGCACCTGCAGAGCGCAGCAGGGGTCAGATTTTTTGTTTTTGAAGGGAGGGCCTTGTTTGCCCATCATATGCTGGGAGGATAAGGAATAAAATAAGATAAAATCCAGAGAAGCTGTCAAAGGAGGGCTGATCCGAGTGTCCAACGACAAGGTAGTAACGTGCTGTCAGGTAGGAAAAGATGGCTGTGCACCGGGCCAGAGGCACCGACATTAACCTAGGACGTGAAGGAGAGGTGAATCGGATTTCAGCATGCAGAGAAAAAGTTGCTGGGGAAGTTTAGAGAGACGCAATTGACTGAAGGAGCCTGGAGTCCTGTCATTTGCAATCAGATGGGCTGGTCGTCACTCACTTTCAACCTTAACAACAGTAATAATACTATGACTATATTTGTTGAACACTATTTTTAGGTGTTCGTCTGAGATGTCTAGACACACAGATATAGGCTCTAGAACTCTCTAGGTGGCCATTCTTGGCCACTACTCTACACTGCTTCTCCTGTGTTTCTCAGGATGTTGTTCATGCAGTCATTTCTCCTTTCATGCAGCAAATCACTATTGCACGTTGACACGTGCCGAGCACTCTGGGTGTATTTACTAGCCTTAACTGTTGGCAAGTTCTCATTCGCATTGATGTCCTTGCACTCTGGCATGGTTTGATCTCCCCCTCTCACTGGGGAAGGACCGACAACTCCCCTCGCCCAGCCTGGGAAAGGAGCCCTGGCCTCTCTGCTCCCACGTCCAACCTGTCGTGGGCAGTTCCTTGCGTGTCCACTGTAGGGGGGACAAACTCCACTTTCTTCCTCTTCGGGTCCTAACTAGGCTGGAGAATTAAACTGACATAAAATAGATTAACAGGGAAAAAAATACAAATTTATTTAACACAAGTTTTACGTGGTATGGGAGCCATCAAAAAGAAATGACCCAAAGAAGCAGGCAGGGTCCATCACTTACATACCTAATTGGACAAAGAGCATGAAGTTGTGGAAAAGCAACTAACTTATTCGGGGAGGCTGAAAAGATAAGCACTGTTTTAACAAGGTCTGCACAGAATTCTCTTGTCTATGACTTCTCATCAAAGAATATTTCTTTTCTCCTCTTACAGGGAGGGCATCTTTCACATGGGAATTTTTATCTATCTTCAAGAAGAAAAGGGGAGATTAGCATGCCCTTCTTGCATCTGCTGTTTTTCAAGTGACTTTAGCTCACAGTAATCCTCACATCAAAGTGGCATATTTAGGGGTGGCATATCCCACAACCCTTCACCATCTTTCTCAAAACCCCGACATCTCTTCCAGTCTGCCCCACACACGCCAGCCTACAGTCCCTGGAGATTTGCACTGTGCTTCCAATCAGAGCGTACACTGCAGCTACCTGTTACACTGCTGAGTCTCCCCGAGATTTCTAGGTCAGCCACATTGTCTTAGAGGAGGTTTGAGATGTAATTCAGCTATGAGTTCCCCCCAAAATGTACAGTACACCTTAAACAAAATAACAGTACACTTCTGTCTCATGTAAATGTAGGATATCCAGGGCTAGTACAGTGGCTCTGGTGACATCAAGGGCCCAGGTCCCTTCTATCTTATTGCTCAGCCATGCTCGGCATCAGGTTTCTCACTCCAGATCAGACACTTGCACGCTGAGTCTGCGTTCCAGCCAGGAACCAGAAGGAGGAATGCTCTCCCTTCTTCAGATACTTTTCAGAATGTGAAGTTTCAGTTTATATTCCACTAGCTAGCACATAGAGGCCACATCTACCAGCAAGCTTGGATGGGAAATGTGGGTTTTCCATTTGGCCAAGTGCCAAGTGAAATATCTAATACAAAAGAAGGAGAACACAGAGACTGGGGAAGAGTCACCACAGTCTGCGGTAGCAACTCTACACGGCCTTGTCACCTTGATGTGACCCATCTCTCCATCCCGCCCCCACCCTCTGGTTCCTTTATCCACGGGGCTTGGTGACCAGGGCACAGAGTCTCCCTGTCTGTGACCAGCCTACCTCCCCACCCCTAGGAAAATTCTTTCATCTTGGTAGCTGCTAATATCAATACCGAGTATTTCCCAGGGACTTGTTCTGCTCTGACTTGTAACATTTAGAAATTGTAAGAACATGTTCACAGATGGGCCTCTCCATTGATTTGCAATCCAAGTCTCATCATTTGAAGCAAAAAATAAATGTTTTCCGCTCACTTAGTCTATCAGCTGTCACCAGGAGGTGAGCAGGAATGGCCCCTGAACGTCAGATACTTGGGTAGTGGCTACGCAGCACCCACCAGCTGTTCAAGCATGGTAAAGATGAGTATGTAAATGTACAACGTCTTAACCAGCACATCTGCCAGGGTTCTTACAGAAAAGGAATTTAGTAAATATCATCAGGGACTCTATGGAAGGGACAGCAAATCAGGCTTTTTGGGGTCTATGCAGCCAGGAATAAGGCCATGTGTGCCATTCCATGAGAAACTGACACTTCCACTGAAAACAGAGGAACTGAATTGGAACAGAAATCCTGAGAAATTAAAAATTAGTAATAATTTTTAAAAGTAAGCAGCTTAGGAGGTGGTATCTGAATTAGCTTAAACTTTGTTTCTGGAGCCCAAATGGAGGCATTGATAAGCTCAACGTACCAATGGTCTTGGATATTTAAAATAGTATAAACACCCACACTGTGTCCAATTGTTGGGCCCACAGCACATTTATTCTAATGACTTGGTTAGAAAGAATTTCAGACTTTGGAAAGGCCTGTTGAACTATTTATAAGAAGGAGCCAAGAAACAAGCAGTCATAAACTAGGGGTCGATTTATTCCTCCAAGTTACCATATACCTTGTTTACTCTTAGTTTATCTACATCGTTTTCCTCCAAAGAAAACTTCTAATGAAGATTCCTCAGGGCATTTATTTTTTTCATTCTTTTTCTTTCCTTGACTGGTAAATAAACTATTGATTTTGTTTTCAAGGTAATTTAAGGTGTAATACAGTTTCAATTTGATAACTACCACCTTAATGCATTCAGAGTAAACAAATTTTAGGGTTTCAATTAGTTATTTTTGCCATCAAAATCGACCGCATCATGACTGGCACCATAGAGCTGGCTGTATAGGCTGGGTGGGCTTGAAGTTACATGTGACGTTAATCATTCAAAGACCAATTGCCAAAGGGAAAAACTGGGGAAGCTCTTCCAGAGATGAGTGCTCTTCAAGGGTAAATTAACATTGGGTTTCTTGGGGGAAGAACTGAATTGGAATATGATTTTTGAGAATTCGACAGAATTGCTTCTAGTTAGATCAAAAACATCTTTCAAATGTCTTTGTAGAGTAAACATGCTACTTGTCCACTGTGAGGAAAAAGAACACCAATCTTCAAAGAGGCGCATTCTAGGTGACTTTTTGTTGTAAGTGACAGAAAACCCACGTCCAACTGGTTCAAACAAAGAAAAAGAATTTAATGGCTCATGCCAAGGAGGGGCCAGTGATGAGCCAGCTTTGAGTATATCCCAATCTAGGCACTATGACTCTCTTTCTCTCTCCACCTCAGCATAATGTGCTTTGAAATCACACTGAGGCACCTGCCAGCCCCACAGTGGCTCCAGAAGCCTCGGTCTAACACCTTCCATCCCAGGTTCCCCTGCAAAGGCCCAGGATGAGCTCTGATTGGCTCCGACTGGGTCATGTGCCATTTCTGAGCCAATCACTGTGGCCAGAGGCATATGGCATCTCACTGGCCAAGCCTGAGTCACATGATCACCCTGGAGCTGGTCTGGGAACCCACAAAGCCATGGATCCCAGAGCGAGCTCAGACTGCTGCCCCGGAAGTGCGGCGTGAGTGCTGGGCAGGAGCAAGACACCCACCGGCCACACGCCCATCCAGACACCCTGTCCCCCTGGGTCAGCCTAGAGTCCTGTGCCCCGGCCCCCTGCTGGCCCGTGGTGCCCGGCCTCAGTTCCTCCACCACGACCGCCGGCCCCTCCCCGGCCTCTGCTTCCCTCCCTCCCTCCGTCCCTCTCTCTTCAGCTGCGACTCCCGGGAGCGTCCACAGCCCTCCCTGCCCCCACTCACTCTGCTTTCCTCCAACGACGTCTGCACTCGGGGTTCCAGCTTCGCCCCCGTTGCCGCGCCTGCGCTCCGTGTTCACGTGTCGTCTCTGACGTCAGATTGCGGGGCCGAGGGCGCGAGAGCAAGGGCCACCCTTCCCTCCTGCTCACGTGAGGAAATGCTAGACGTGAACCCACTGTTTTCTCCTTCAATCATAAAGTAGCCTTGGGCCAAAAACAATAACTGTGACATAATCAAATAATCCCAAGTTTCATGGGAATGGAACAAAATGATGACTTGCACGCATTGATGTATGGTGTGTGGGGGGGTGTAATTATGGAATAAAATGGAAGGTTATTGTTTCAGTCAGATCACAAATCTCTACTAATATTGGTAGTAGGGTACTACTTACATTAGACACACAATTCTTTATATTTTGTATGAGTAGATCACATTTGTTTATTATCACTTTTAATTCTCTTAGCAATGCTATAAGCAAAGTCCTGTTTCTGTTTTCATTTAACAAACGAGGAAACGGAAGTACAATGAAATTAAGAGACTTGATCATGATGAAACAAATGGTAAGTAGTGAAGGCAGGTGTGTGGTAGTATTGAACTTCTTCCAGTAAAGATGGGGATTGTCGCGCCCGCCTCGCCAGCAAGGAAGACGCGGCAACTGGAGTTCTTCTGACAGTGCTTTAATGGGGTTCCCTTTAGACTTACATGATGCGGAAGACCCTGAGCACAAGCTCTCACACACTTATATACTCTAAGGAAGGAGGGAAGTGATGGGGATAGGTTAAAAGCGCGCGAGGGTTATTACTGATAGGCCAAGCTAAGATCCTTCATATGCATACTTATAGAACAGGCCAGGACTTACTCTGCGCATGCGCTGAACTTGTTTACTACAGGCGGGCCACCGGAAAGCGGCGCCATCTTGTAATGGCGTTGTCACCGCGCCCCACAGGGGATGGCCATGGGACTGTCACTCTGGCCAGTGACATGAGAGAGGAAGTGATGGGTTCAATTTCCAGTGGATACCTTATAGAGCCAGTGTTTCTCTCTCAGGCTTTGTTCCAGATTCTAGACGGTGGAGGAGCTGCCATCACAGGTATGTAAGTCAGGGTGTTGTACAATAGGGATCTCACTGCCCTGAGATGAACACGGACTTGAGCAGGTAATAAATTGTGTTGCTTTAAACTACTGAGATTTGGGCTAATAAAGTAAGACATTGACTGTAATAAATTAACATGTTATCCATATCTATATGTTCTTGAAGGCTAACGCTTAAGAATTAAAACTATTTTACGCTTAAAGTTTTATTTCTAAATATTTTGTAAAGGTTATACTGGTGTTAGCGTTCTATTCTTTGGGCATTTTTAAGGTAAAATATACAGCCATGTCTCCTTAAGTAGAAATAATTAATGTAATTTAATGTCTTTGTTGTTCATTTCAAAAATAATATTCTTTTATTATCAAAGGCTGTTAAATAAATAAAAGCAAAGGGTTTCTTTTCTGCCCTTTTAGGGAACAGATGATCCTGCCTCTTTCATCTGAGATGGCACAAACTTGGAGGTCTTTCTTGCTCCCTCTCTCTTGTTGCTTGAGGAATAGTCTGTCTTCCCTCTGCCATAAAGAAGCATACAAGGCACTTTGAACAGCCCGTCCCAGGGCCCTGCCTGCTTCAGGAAAGGGACGTGCCTTCCAGAAGAGCATCCTCTTGGCCAGAGCTACTGAGGGTGGGGGTTCAGACCTTGACCCTGACAACCCAGAAGACACCAGAAGGCACGACTGCCCTGCCTGCTTCCTGAGCAGAATTGGTATTAAATATTTGCCTCTGCACACATACAGCGGGTGCAGCAAGGAGAGCGCCCTGGGGAGGGGTGTCTTCCCTTCTCCCTTCCTCCAGCCTACCTCCTACCTCCTTTCCTGTTTGCCTCCTCCTCCTTTCATGAGACAGTCATTGAGTTCCTACGATGAGCACTGCCTGCCACCGTTCATTGAGCCCACACTCTCCCGAGGGAGACAGAACATAGAAAGTAAACAAGTAAATAACATGACAGCAGATGGTGTTAAGCGCCTTGAGAGATAAAACAGTGAGCATGGCTGGAGCGAGTGGGAGCTATTTTAGGGAATGAGAGATTCTGAGGGAATCTCTTCCCTGAACTCCACCTGCGTAGGTCAAGAGTGCCTGCACAGAGGTCATGACATTTGACCTGGGGTGGAGTGTGGGGGTGAGAGTGTGGGCTCTGGAATGAGGCAACCTTGGTTTTAAAGAGGACCCAGGTATGTAACCAGTGAACTCACCACCCTGTGCCTCAGTTTCCCCTGTGCCTTATCTGTAAAATGGGGAGAATGTAATCATGGTGCTCTCTTAGCAGGAAGAGTTGCTGTCAGCGTTGCATGAGGAAGCACACGTGAAAAGCTAAGAACAGAACTGGGCATGTAGTAAGTGCATGATGAGTTTTTGTTCATGAGAGAATGAATGAATGAATGAATGAATAAATGAAAATAAAGTACAAAGTGTCTTTACACCGTACAATTAGACCAGACCAAGACAAAATTCAGATATCTTCCCTTCAACTTTCTCCAAGTAGAGATCATTCCCTCTGAGCCACGACAGCCCCATGGTTGTGCACGAGTGGGGGAATTCCAACCACTGGCATAATCAGAAGAGTTTTATTTTGTTTTCTGCAGAGGCTGTGGGATGCAGAGTTCAGTGTGGCTTCCAGAGCCAGATGACTGGGTTCAAATCCTGTCTTTGCCTCTAACTGTATAACCTTGGGCAACATACATAGTACTTAGTCTCCCTGCCTCAGTCTCCACATTGTCAAATGAGGGAAATTGTGCTGTGAGGATGAAAGTGAATATCTACAAGGTATTTGGACTGTACCTAGAGCATCTGTGCGGTGTAATTTTAACAGTCAGAGTCAATTCCATATTTTAAAGTGCTTTTCAGACTGCTGAGTGCTGTGCAGGTATTGTTGTTGCTGGTATTATGCCACCATGTGAGTTTATGCAGACAGGACAGTCATCATTAGCAAAACTAGGTCATGTTTTCCTGGCTGGTTTCTGGTCTTACATATTTGTATACTGTCTCATTTCATTTGTGTAATCCAGATTTCCCCAACAGACGTCATGCCAGCCCCTCCCCCTTCCTACTTGCCTAATAGGAAGTTCCATCCTTTCCTGGGTTCGTAACCCCAGACGATGTCATGGTGCCTCTCTCGGCTCTGCTCTCCCGAGGCCAGTTCCCACCTCCACACTGGTGCTGCCCCTGTCCAGTGTCTCCCATGGGAGCAAGCAGTGGCCACAGCACTTCCAACCCATGTCTACACGACACACGTGCACCACTGTGCGCAGTGCCCTGGGGTGCCCCTGTCCAGTGTCTCCCATGAGAGCAGCAGTGGCCACAGCACTCAACCCCCTGTTACACCCACACTGCTCCACTGTGCGCAGTGTCCTGGGCTGCCCCTGTCCAGTGTCTCCCATGAGAGCAAGCAGTGGCCACAGCACTTCCAACCCCATGTCTACACGGACACACGTGCTCCACTGTGCACAGTGTCCCTGGGGCTGCCCCCTGTCCAGTGTCCCATGAGAGCAAGCAGTGGCCACAGACTTTCAACCCATGTCCACACGACAACGTGCTCCACTGTGCGCAGTGTCCCTGGGGCTGCCCCTGTCCAGTGTCTCCCATGAGAGCAAGCAGTGGCCACAGCACTTCCAACCCCATGTCTACACCACACACGTGCTCCACTGTGCGCAGTGTCCCTGGTGCTGCCCCTGTCCAGTGTCTCCCATGAGAGCAAGCAGTGGCCACAGCACTTCCAACCCCATGTCTACACGACACACGTGCTCCACTGTGCGCAGTGTCCCTGGGGCTTAGTGTCTTGTCCAAGCCGACAGAGCCGTCAGCAGAGAAGGGCCAGAACCTGAGTCTCCCATCCTCCTAGGGCTGCACTCTGCGACACACGGTTGGTATCCCAAGAGGAGCACTGACACAACAGGAGGGGCATGGCATGGCCCTCCTTCATTCATTCAGCCAATCATTAATTCATTAATTCACCCAACAAATAGTTATGAGGCCTGCTATGTGCCAGGCACTGTTTCAGGTAAGAGGACATCGGAACTGCATTATGTAAAAGGAAAAGGAAAAAAGCTTATTTCTTTTGGAAAATATATTTGTTCCATCCTGTGAAAGGGTTGGTGGCTCCAGAATTGCTCTGCAGGACCGTCTCCGATATGACAGTGCTTTTGGAAGGAGAACTGACGGAAACGGCTCCTGCATTTCTGCTTCTCCCTCCTCTGGAAACGGAAGGGCGACACCTCCTTTCCCCTTAAAGTTAGTGTGGCCAACCGGAGCGGATGGAAGAGGACGAAGGTGGCACTTCAGAGCGACACGTGTCACGTGCTGCGGGCCCTCTGCCCTGCCCTGCAATGGTGGAACCGGAGCCGTGAGGTTGACAGCACAAGATGGGAGCCACCCGCGTGGCCGAGTCCTCACGGCTGCTGTGAGGGTGCCCTGGACTCATGGCTGATTTTTCATGAGAAAAAAATGAACGTTGATGTGCTGACTGACTGCCATTTGGAGGTTACTTGTTATCGTAGCATCGCCCAGTGTTTCCTGATTAACACGGGGTGGGGGTGAGGGGAGGGAGGTTAGGATCCTGGTCTCCAGCTGAGGTTGCAGAGCGCCCCACTTTCTACATGGCGTGCATGTCGCCTAAAAATAGCAGTAAAATAGTTCCCTAAATATTACCTTACTTAACTTTGCGTAAGTATCTTAGTGTCCTACATGGTGGGACACACACAGAGAACAGGGACAGAGGTTAGGGGCGGCCGGAAGCTTCCCTTTCCAAGCTATTCCTTAGAACCACTAGTCATTTAAAGATAATAATCATATAATAATTAAATGCGTTCTATTTTACATTAAAGAAAATTAAATATTAATTAATAAATAAATTCACGGACTCAGATGTTCAAGAGTTTCTTAAGGGCCAGCTCTTACTGCGACTTAATTAAGAAGCTCAGCTGAGAAGCATCAGGCTATTAAACAGAGGCTGACGGGCCCGGGTTGATTCAGGGCTGCACAGAGACACAGCCTTTATTAGTCTTCCTTGCTTCCCTGAAAGCAAAGTAGGTTTGTGTTCCACTTGGGGACTAATCCATTTGTCACTATGAAATCTCCACGGACAGGGATGTCCATTTCAAACCTAATTTGCAGCTGCCTTTTCATTTTAGTGGTTTTGGAATGGAATTCATCTGCTTCAACCCTAGTCTATTTGGTTACCCCGTGCAAATATCTAGTGCCCATGGTGAAATTTCAATATAACACTGACAATTTGTTTTGCCTGATATCAGCTCCATTTGTCAAAGCTATTGACCCAGGCCCGTAAAGAGGCATCATTCTTGGCCCCTTGGTAATGGTTTTATGCAAATAACAGACAAGCTTTAGTTCTGTGATAATGATTTTAAGAAGAAAGAAAACTGGATGGGGGAGAGAGAGAGAGAGATGTGGGGGGCAGGAAGAAGGAGGAGGGGCAGGAGGGAGAGAAGGGGAGGAGGAGGTGGAGTCACAGAGAAAAGGGAGGCATGGGCAAGGCGTCGTGCGTGCGTGGGTGTCCACAAGCAAACACAAATACCCCTCCTCCTCTGCGGCACGGCACGGCACGGCACAGGTGGCAGTGGAGACCACATCCTGCCCGGAGCCGCTCGTGGCGTTGCTGGAGACAAACAGGACAAGGTGTGAGCAATACTAAGCAGAGGGCTCAGTGCTGTTTACACAATATTATTTATTCCAGTGCAAGCAAGGGACAGGGTGCCAAGCAAGTAAGTCAGTGAGTAGAAAAAGGATTTTCAAATTTAAATCCACTTACTCCCGTGGGTACACAAACACCATCCAAGGGATGTGGGGGCAGCCCCTCTGGCTCACTGTGCTCTCGTTCCCTGCAGCGCCCTACCTGAGAACACCCTTGCTGTCCTTCTTGCCCATCTCACCTTTCACAATTGCTCCTTTCCCTTCTAGAAGAAAAAGTGCCATCTTCACTTGCCCAGAGCCTTCCCCTGGTGCTTTTCTTCAAGATTTGCAAACCTCCCACACAAGAAGGGGGCGGCGTATAGCAGTGGGCCCGGAGGCACATGCCTTTTAATTAAGACTCCACAATCCCCTTCATCCACCGCCCTGAAGACATCATTTCTAATAAAATATTGAATTGATGTTAAATAATATTTATCAAAATTTACTATATGTATGTTGTTTTGATTCACTTAGTTATTACAAATAGTTCCACTGATAACCCAGTCCAGATAGAATTTCAAACATAGTGAATTTAAAAGTAAAACAATTGATAGGATAAAACTATACTGAAATAAGATAAAAGTATCATGGGGACATAGAAGGAATCTTTCAAGGAGGATAGGGAATGGCGTGCATTTCTAACTATTAAGCTTGTCGAAGGATAGAGGCTATGAAACAGCTATGCTATTTAGCTTCCGTTGGATACATTTAAAAGGACAATGCAACAGTTTTATTATAAAATCTCAATATTTACACTAATCTGTCATTTATACAACTTGTCATTTTCGTCCTTTGCATTTGACTTTCTCATTTTCCCCAGAAGATCTGTCTTCTGACTTAGAATCCCATCACCTTTAAACCTGTTGCCTTAACTTTTTACTTCTGTGACTACAAACTGGTTTTCTCATCAGGGCTGATTTTTCACAAAGAATCTTTATTTGTAGCAATTACTAGAAGTGTACAAAGTGGGTGAGAGAGAAGCCCTAGCCTTCCCAGCTGAGTAGTGTGTTGGCCTGGCTCAGCGCCAAGAGAGCTGGGTCCACCCGCTGGCCTTGCTACACTCTGCTGTGCGTCAAGGGGTATGGCAGTCACGACCGCTGCTCCCAAAATATTCTCAGTCTCCCTCCGGGCTCTTCCCTACCTCTTTGGAGGGTAGGTGTAGCCCTGTGACTGACTTTGCCCATGACATGTGGGAGGAAGTGACAGTGTCCCTCTTGGGCAAATATTTTAAAAGCCAATGTCCACTAAGCCATGTTATCTTCCTCCTGCCACAGTGATTGCAGAAGGATGGGCCAAGACAGAGACTCTGCCAGCCCCAGTCCCAGGACACAGAAATCCCAGCTGACCCTGAGATGGAAATGCAGCCTTCTTGTTTTAAACCACTGAGATTTTTGGTCTTATCTGTTACTGCAGCAGAACCTCACCCATCTTGCATAATACCACAAGTCATTTGCAAATAGTTGGAGCTCCAAATATTAAATCTATGAAATGCAAAGTTATCCTACATTCAGCTCATCTTTGTAACCATTTACAAAACCTGCAACCTTTTGTGAATCTGCCTTTTTGGGACACATTTCTCAAATGGACAAATTTGCATTTTTTCTTCTGATTTACCATCAGAAAGGACTTGGATTCAACACCCTATAGCTTTTTGCTATGTCCCATAAATCTTTGAGCTCTGGGTCTGTGATCACTTCTTGACTCCTGCCTTCTATGACTCTTGTGACACTTCTCGAAAATCCCATTTTCTGCTCTGACCCAGGGTCAGGGGCTCTGGCCCATAAGAAGGCCTGGTGTCCATCAACATTCGCATCAAACAAGAGTGTACTCGTGAAGGTCTTTCCAACAGAAACACCAAGTGCAGGCAAGGGAGACCAGAAAAAGTGAGTCATTAGCCCAGAAAAGTCAAGGAAACTGATTAGTGAGTCAAAAGGCCACGCATGACCCACTGTTCAGCTAAAGTAGACCCAGACTCAGACACCCTCCTGAGTCTAACAGTCCACTTGATGAACAGCCGGCTCTGAACGTTGACAGGAACGTTTGCTCCTTTGAGTCAACCAAGCAGCTCCTTTGCACATTTGAAAGAAAAGAAAATCTCCATTTTAGACAACGATTTTCTGGATCAGTGGTGGTAGAGTAACTGTAATTCTCGCTTTGTGACTGAAAAGATATTTGTCCTTCCATGCAGATAAATGTTTCCCCTTTCTCTGGGGTCTTGACAGATCAGGGATCCAACATGCTCAGGCTCTGGGTGGCAAGGTGGTTACAGCACCCCCAGCCTCACCCTGCAAGGTTTGGCCGCACAGAAAAGAGCCACAAGCTTCCAGCAAAGTCCTGAGACCCTCTGGGACGGGGTCAGCTCAGGTCATGTGCTCACCCCTGGTGAGGGGCTGTTGCCAGGGAGGGAGCACCACTTAGCTCTGGGTCTTGGCCTTGACCTCTGACTCCCAGGTCATGTGGATGGAGGTGCAGAGGGAAGATTTTCCAAATGGAAACGGTGGGGGTGGGAGTGCTCTGTTTCTAAAATAAAATGACAACA